AAATGGTATGATGCTGGCACTACAGGCCACGAACGTGGCGGAGCATCAGTGCCGGAAAGCAGTGGACTCAGAGTACATAGAGAGTTTAGAGAGCTTTGAGAGTTTTCCAACGAGCGCATGTTTGAGGGTTTGGAGAGTTGAACGATGTTTGTTATGTTGAGTTTCTTAGAGTTTTTGAATGTTGTTTGAAAGTGGTATGATGCTGGCACAGCAGGCAACACTGCAGACCTTGCTGACGACCAGGATCTCGACTGACGCTATTCGTCAAGCTAGTTCACCAGTCCTTCTACTCTATGCTTCCACGTTACCTTTCTCTAACAACACTGCAATGGAGTTGCCCCAAAGATTTCGGATATGAAGCCTGGAGGAGGAGAAAAGCGACGACTGCATATATTGCCGCACACTTGGCATTGGAAATGAAGTTTTGAGAGGTATGAGAGTTCAGATTTTGCGTTGTGAGAAGAGTTTCGAAAGTTTGGAGTTTCAGACTTTGGAGAGTCTTTTTTGTTTGAAGGTCTGAGAATGTTGAGTGTTGAGAATAGAGTGTTACGGTTTGAGACTGGAGGTTTCTAAGAGTTTTGATGTGAACTTTGAGGTGACTACTTCTGAGTAGAGTATAGAGCTCGTGGAAACCTGCTGCACGCATTGTGAAAACAAGAGTTGCATCTGTGTAATGTTGCGAGAGTTCAGATTTTGCGTTGTGAAAAGACTATCGAAAGTTTGGAGGTTCAGACTTTGGAGAGTCTTTTTTGTTTGAAGGTCTGAGAATTTGAGTGTTGAGAATAGAGTGTTAGGGGTTCAGACTGGAGGTTTCTAAGAGTTTTGAGAGGAACTTTCCGAGCAAAACTTCAATGTGAAAAGTTCAATGCATTGAACTTTCATAACAAAACTTCAAAGTGAAAAGTTCAATGCGTTGAAGTTTCACATCAAAACTTCAATGTAAAAGTTCAATGCATTGAAGTTTCATATCCAAACTTCAGTGCAAAAGTTCAATGCATTGAAGTTTCGTATCAAAAGTTCAATGCATTGAACTTTTACATTGAAGTTTTGATATGAAACTTCAATGCATTGAACTTTTACATTGAAGTTTGGATATGAAAGTTCAATGCATTGAACTTTTCACATTGAAGTTTTGTTATGAAACTTCAATGCATTGAACTTTTGACATTGACGTTTTGATATGAAACTTCAATGCTTTGAACTTTTGACATTGAAGTTTTGATATGAAACTTTAGATAAAAACGGGCAGCGTCTAGTTACAGAAAGAATTGTATAAATAGATTAAGAGGAACTCATAAACTTTAGATAACAAAATGGGCAGCGTTTAGTTACATAAAGAGTTGAAGAGGAACCCACCCTAAACCCTAAACCCTAAACTTTAGATTAAAAAACGGGCAGCGTTTAGTTACATAAAGAATTACATTAATATATTAAGAGGAACCCACCCTAAACCCTAAACTTTAGATAACAAAATGGGCAGCATTTAGTTACATAAAGAGTTGAAGAGGAACCCACCCTAAACCCTAAACTTTAGATAAAAAAATGGACAGCGTTTAGTTGCATAAAGAATTACATTAATATATTAAGAGGAACTCACCCTAAACCCTAAACTTTAGATAACAAATGGGCAGCATTTAGTTACATAAAGAGTTGAAGAGGAACCCACCCTAAACCCTAAACTCAAGGAACCCGCCCTAAACCCTAAAATAAAAAGGGGAGCATTTAGTTAAATATATAATTACACAAAGAATTTGAGATACAAAAACAGACAAACCCACCTTAAAGCCTAAACTCTTTTAAACACGGGCAGTGTTTTGTTTCATAAGGAATGAATTTTAACCCTCAGACCAAAGCAGACCAAAGAATTTGACAAAACGAAAGACAAGAGCAGGATCGAAGAAAGACAAGAGTCGTGATGGGTTTGAAAGTGTTGTCTCGACAGTTTCTGATATTTCTCCAGAGTCTTGACAGTCTTGAAAGTTCTTTGAGAGTCTTGAGAGTTTTGAGAGTTTTTCCATATTTGATATATGAGTGGAACTCGCGAATCGTGTCGAAATACTACCTGAAAAGCATTGCTAGCATTCTGGTTCAAACCAAAGTTGTTGGCCCTGTCTGGGCAATAGATTGTTGGCACTTGATGTCGGCGCTCGACGATGCTAGTGCCCCTGAAAAGCCCACGCCAGAGACAGAGGACAAAGATCAAGAGACACAGCTAGAGGCAGAGGAAGTTGAGCAAGAGGACGAGAATCTTCAGGAACAAGCGACAGAAGAGCGACAGACAGAGAATCCAGAAGAGCAGGGCGAAGCACCAAAAAAGAAACCCAAAGGCAAAGCCCAAGCAAAAACAAAGGCAAAGGCAAAAGAAAAGGCTGCCCCAAAGCCCAAAGCCAAGGCAAAGGGAAAGGCAGCCGCCCAGAAAGCAAAACCAAAAGCCAAAGCCAAAGGGAAATCCAAAGCCAAGAAAGGCCAGAAAGACCAGGAAGAAGAGGACGCGCGCGCAGAAGAAGCGAAATTGAAGGAAGTGAAGGAGGAACCAGCAAGTCAGACACCCAAAAGGAAAAGCAAAAAGAGGCCTGCTGCACCAGAGAACGATGGAGACGGCTCTGAGCCTGCTCAGGCCAAGGCCAGGGTCGAGCCAAAGAAGGAGACGAAGGAAGAGAAGAGCACAAAGGCTGAGAAGAGCAAGAAGGAGGAGAAGAGCGCAAAGGAGGATAAGAACACAAAGGACGACAAGAACAAGAAGGACGAGAAGAGCAAGAAAGACGAGTTTTGTGAGCGTTGCTTCGAGAGAGTTTGGAGAGCTTTACTTTGAGAGAGTTTTGAGGGAAATTGTTTGGAGATTTTGGAGAGCTTCGACAGACTCGGCAGGCTTGATGTTTAGTAGGTTTGATTGACCCACGCGCAGCAACTAGAGCACAAAGGACGATAAGAACACAAAGGAAGAGAAGAGCAAGAAAGACGAGAAGAGCAAGAAAGACGAGAAGAGCAAGAAGGAAGAGAAGAGCAAGAAGGAGGAGAAGAGCCCAAAGGATGATAAGAACACAAAGGAAGAGAAGAGCAAGAAGGAGGAGAAGAGCAAGAAGGATGAGAAGAGCAAGAAGGACGAGAAGAGCAAGAAGGAAGAGAAGAGCAAGAAGGAAACTAAAGACAAGGATGATGATAAGAAGGATAAGAAAAAGAAGATCAACAGAGGGGAGTGGCTCAAGAGCTTCAAAGTTGAGAGTGACGAGGAAGAGGATGAGAAGAAGAAGAAAAACAAGAGCAGGAAGGAAAAGAAGAAAGGGTCCAAGTCCGAGTCTGACAAGTCAAAGAGTGATGGCGAGACCTTTGTTAGCCTGCGTTGATTCATTTGTCATGGCAGCTGGACTCCTGACTTTGTAGGCAAGCGACAGCTCCAAGAGCGATGATGAGGACAGGCTGGAAAAGGGCAGGAACAAAGCTGCAGCGATGGCCTTTCGCCGATTGTTTCCTTCCCTGCCGGTGGCAGCACAGAATGAATGGAACAAGATTGAAAGCTCAAGCAGGCCGCAAACCACGCATGGCTGTAGTGTCCAGAATGTTTCAATGCGTATTTGAGAGTTTTGACAGTTTGAGAGGGGAGTCTTGAGAGTTTGGAGAGTTTGGCGAGATGTTTTTGCAGAGTTAACTAGTTAATTCTTAAAGTTATTTTTCATATTGTTGGTTTAGCATTTCTGAGAGCTTGTGAATTTGCATGCTGCTGTCCCGCCGATGCTGTTCACTGCGTTGCGTGACACTAAAACTATTTATGCGGTGATGGCAGCAAGGCAGGAGGCGACTGAATGGCTCATGAAGAGGATGAAGAAGTGTAATGGTAAGTGGACCTTCACCCTTTCAGACGAAGGTTCAGTCAGCAAAGACAGGAAGAAGATTGACACAGAAAGGTTCAGTGCAGGACACCGCAGTGTACCAAGATTCATTGCGGTTCAGAAGGCTGGTGGGGAAGCTGGCCTAAAGCAAGCAATTGCTGCTGGCGAGATTGTTCCTGTCAAAGGCCACTCCGGCAAAACTCTCTACCGATGGGAAGAGGAGAGTTCCTCGAAAGGTGGACAGCTAGAGACAATGACGTCCCTGCACACAAGTGATGTTTGCGATGGGCTGGTGATGGATCAGCTTTGGGGAGCTTTGGATTTCGCTGTCTTCGCACCCGAGACGCCTTCTTTCTCCCAGCCTTCGAATCCCGGTCAACTGATGCTGCCTCCAATGAATCCTGGAGGAATGAGTTTCGGTGGTGCTGGATGTGGTGCTGGAATGATGGGTGGTTCTGGACTGATGGGTGGTTCTGGAATGATGGGTGGTTCTGGAATGATGGGTGGTGCTGGAAGTGGTGCTATGTCAACGGATGTAGTGCTGGAATTGCCGCCGCAATATTGGCAGAAACTCGACGAGGCCGGCTTGCGCAAATTGTATATTTGTCAGGCTTGCAGCTGGTGAGTCAGGTGAGACTTTTTTAAGTAAAAGTTTTGAGAGTTATATTATATTTGATTGTTTTCCGAGAGTTCTGAGAGTTTTATGTTTTTATGGTTATAGCTGAGAGTTCTTATTGCTGAGAGTTTTCTTGAGAGTTTTGAGGATTTTGTGTTTTGATGGTTAGCTGAGAGTTCTCATTGCTGAGAGTTTCCGCTACGTATAGTTCTTCGACCATTTTGAGCAGCTCAACTCTGTGACAATTTGCATATTCTGAGAGTAGTCCATATTTGACAGGCGTTGACTGTGGCCCAGGGTAGCTTGGCCGAAGCGGCCGCTGTGATTCAGACATTGAGCGGTAGGGCGCCTGGCAGCAAGCTGGCGAATGATATGCTCCAAAAGTTGAACATGGCCTATGGAGCAGTCACTGAATCCGTGAGTGTTATGACGCAGATAAAGGTGACGAAGCGCGGTCCAGGCAACATGCCCCTGACACCGCCAAATGCGAAGCAAATGCTCCAGAAGCTGTTCGTGCAGTTGAAAGATCTGCATGAATGCTGCAACGTCGGAAAAGCCGTCGGACGTTCTTGAGCCCCTAAGTTTGTATTGAAAGATGCATAAGATCGTATACTTGTTTTGTATACAGTAGAGTGTAATGGTTGGCTAAAGCAACGTTCGGTGAAATAGATTGGGCTCAGGACAACGCACATACCGCCTACCAAGGTTTATGTCGGAGGAAATACAGTTGAGTTGCGCGCTGACGAATGTGGTTGATGTGTTTATTGAAGGTTGTGGCGTTGCGTTCGTTGAGCGCAAGACGCTCAGTAGTTTGCTTTGGTTTGCAGACTGGTTCAAGCCTGTGGGTTTTGAACATCAGCGTTTGAAAATCACCCTCCTAGGAGGTCATGTCTGGCAAAATCACAGAGGCCAAAGGCTGCCACAACTACAGTACAGTACCACTCAATCTGAATTTCACATGGTCATTGAGTCATGGGGCTGTACTCGATTTGAAAAGGTTTTTGTTCAACAACTCTTCTACCTATAGTCATGGGTAAACGGAAGGCTGCTGCGGAGGCGCCAAGCCACTTGGCGCAATGGTTACTGGAACAAATAGCTTGGGGACACTTAAGTGCGTCGCAAGGCCAGAAGATAGCCTATATGGTTACCAAAGACGTTCCAGACGCCCACCCCGCGATACAGAAATTTGCGAGGCTAGGTACATCCGGTAGCAATCCGGCGAACACCTGGCGGGACCTGCAGAGGTGGGTCGGCGAGCCGCAATTCCCTCTGCGGCAAGTAGAACTCCCTCTCCAGTTTGGCGTGAAGAAGGTCAAGCAATCTGATGTTTCGATTCTTTGGCCTCACGAGATGTTCGCAGCACTATACACGCGTTATAGAGACGCATGGGCCAGCTACATAAATCCGGATGCGGCTGCTGCATTCTGGAACACAATGGGTTCGACAGAACTTTTCCGCGCGCACCCTTTGAGCACTGACCCGCGCGACAGAAGCAAGTGTGGCTCCCTTGCGTATATGTGAGGTTTTTAGCGCGTTGTTGTCAATTGTCAGTGCTAGTAGCTGCGCTCGTTGTCAATTGTTTGTGCGTTGTTGTTAAGGTATACCGTTGTCCCTTCACGGTGATGGCGTGCCATGTGTGAACGTGGGCAGTGCCCACAGCAGATCCGTGGAAATTGTTTCGTGGCGGTCCTTGCTTTGCACAAACGCGCCTTGCAGTGAAACACGCAACTTTTTAGTGTTTTTGTCTTTCTAACTAATCTAATTGTGTGACAGTTGTGAAACTGGAGGCTGTTGACAGCAAGTTTGAGAACTTCGTTGTCAGCTTGATATGGAGCCATATGGTGGCAAAGCAGCAAACCGTCAAAGAGTATTGGAAAGCGCTTGCCTGGTCTCTGGAAAGCTTGTGGCAAGGCAATATTGGCAGAACAGATATAATATTGACCGGGTTGAGACTGCTGACATTTTTGAAAGTTTGAGGAACTCCTTTTGTCAGTGTGAGGGCTTTGAGAGTTTGAGAGGGACGTTTTGAGAGCTTGGAGAGTTACAGTGAGAGTTTTCAAGAGTTTTGAGAGTTTGAGAGGGAAGTTTTGAGAGCTTGGAGAGTTAGTGTTTGAGCCTGCGCGGACTTGAAACTTTTTCAGAGACTTCTGTTGTCAGTGTGAGGGCTTTAAGAGTTTTGATAGTTTGAGACTCTCAGCAAAGTGTTTGGGGCACAATTGTGGTGGACGTTGGGCCACATCCTAGATATTTGGAGGCACCTGGCCACTCTTGGACTGGAAGGGCAATCCGGTGAGGACGCCTTTTGCTGGAACGCCATTGGCAGGAGGCTGGTTTGCCACGATCTGGTTAGTCCAAGCCGACCTAGCCTGGCGTCCACAGTGGTTGGGCCTTCCGGGCCACAATGCCAATCTGCCTTGCCAACTCTGCTCCAGTCCAAAGGAAGAAATCTTTGACATATCTCCCACTCAGGTACCCAAGCTGATGAGCAAGGATGAATGGTTAGAGAGGTTTGAGACATCGAGGAGATTTGTGGATTTGTTCACAGTCACCGGGCTGACTGGCCAACATGTGTCCCCGGATTTGATGCACACCAAGTGGTGTGGCGTCGAC